CGCTCAGCAGTTGGTAGGCTGGGCGCACTTTCTGCCGAGCCATGCCAACGACCTGATGAAACAGAAACAATATGTTAAAATGCTACTGCACACTTAATCGGCCGGGCGCGATATGATTGCGCTGATTTTGTGGATTATTTTACTGTTTACACATATTAATTGACTCAATGACTCTAATGTCACCTGACCTCAGGGGTCGCGATGTAGTCAGCAGTGGATTGCCAAAACAATAATATCTAATAAGCAATAGAAAAATAACAATAAAACATCAACAACAAACAATTGAACAAGCCCTGCTATCACACTGGAAGTGAACACAGACATACCCGGCCCCCTCCATGGGTGATAAGCTGTGCAGCCGGCGCTCACCTCGACATGTGTGGCCGGCTGTAGTTTGTGAAGAAGCTTCAGCTCCGAGTCTCCGTCGATGGCGAGGAGGTCCTGGATGAGAGCGCGGTCCACGCGGCCACCCTGCCTCGTGTGGATGACGCTGTCGAGGATGTGGTTACGCAAACGCTTCATGATGTGGGGAGGGTCGGCGAACACCCAAATCCGTCTGAGGAAAGGACAGAATTGGATATGGTAGTCAGGTATAGAAGGATAGGATCAAATGATGGGTTAGGATATGATGGTGCTGATGACAATGTGCAAGCATCCTGAAACATACACGCATCAAGACAATGTGTTAGTTGGGCCATTGCACACAATATGTGCAGTGTGCAGTTGGCAGTGTGCAGTTGCACACAGCACAAAAGTCCAAGATTTAGGTTCAGTTACCAACATGTCAGTGCTAAACGCACGATACCATATAACATCAGAAGAAGTGAAATGTAATTACCACATGGACACCTGATACCCATCCAATTTGTCAGGCAGCTCAAAAACTTGGCCACTAAAAGTATTTTGATATCTTATTAAGTGTTCAACAGGATTCATGTTATCGTGACACCAGCTGAACCTGATTATTATATGATATATCATGAGGTTGGGGACGTTTGGATTGCTTAGTACATGCGAATGGTGTTCATGCTATGCATGAACAACTCAGAACTGTTCGTTCCATTCCTTCCTTCATTTGCCACTCACCTCGAAGGGTCGGCGGGGTTGCAGATGGACGCTTCAGCGTCGTGGCCGATGCCCAGGCTCCGCCACAGCGCCAGGTTGCCCGAGCCCATGTCGCTGACGGTGCTGACGACTCGGCCGCCGGCTCCTTCGACAGCCTTGATCAGCTTCAGCAGCAGTTCCTTGGTCACAGGCGTGTCGAACGCGTACAACATGGGAAGCTTCCATGTCGTGAAGATCCCACTCACAAGGAAGAGCTGAAGGTGTTTGTGGGGACCCAAGATCTGATCAAGCTGGTTGTCATAGGTGGCCACACCCATGATGTCCATTTCATCCATCATGATGCAGCAGCACCTGTCCTGCTCACTCATGGACGAGAGGAGTCTCCTGAGCATCCTGACCTGCACATCAGATGAGTTGGGCGCCAAAACGAAGTCAGCGAGCCACCTCTGTAGGGTAGACAGACTTGGCAGGGGCAAGCAGTGGTTTCGGAGCCACTCGTACTGCACCCTGGACGTGTTGACTCTGACCTCCAGAGCCTTGTACACTGATTCGTCGTCCCACCGGTATGGTGCCTTGCCAGTGAAGAGGTTCTCAGCCTGAAAAACACAGAGAAGCAACATATTAGCAAACAGCTGGAACAGCTGCAGTGAAGAGACCTAATCACAATCATGTGAACCATTGTGGAGAGACCTAATCATAATCATCAAGTTATCGAGTCAACACATGAAGACCAGATCACCAGACATCAAGAAACCATGAGAGTAACTTTTCAAACTGATTTGGGGCCTGGGGGAAAGGCTCAGTGCAAACTGTTCAGGGTACCATCAAAGTCATTATGTATGTGTATTTACCATCATATATGACCCACTGCCCTGCCAATATCGATGGGAAGGGCAGGAGGCTCAACTCAACATTGGGAGCCTGGGCCCTACCAAAGAAATACCAAAGTTACACCCATGCTTCTAAGCTAGTATAGGGGAAGACAGAAAGCGGGATAAACTGACCTCAAGGCTCAAGCACCCTTATAGCATATGATGGTAAATAACCAGAACACTGAGAACTCATATTAATGTTAATGTTGATGTTTAAGTACTCTATCACAAATCTTTACTTGCATTATATTCATAGAAGATGAATAGTAAGAAATGGCTCAATATCCTCAACCTCAATTTCTCAGTATGCATAATGACCACCGCAGTCAACGCGCCCTAAAGCCCTAATAAACAATATCCTCAATATCACTAACAGTACGCACCTGCTGGTCTGTGAACAGGTGTCGTTTCAGCGCACTTGAGGGGGCTTGCAGCTGGTGTAGCTCTGCCAGTTTGCTCTTCAGGCTTGCCAGTTCAGCCTCAAGTGCTGGGCATCTGGTACACCTGTTAGGACAAAAGGATCATCAGAACAAGAAAGGGATTTCAAAATACAGAAGTAATTTTAGCTATCATGGGTGCTTTCAGCTATTCATGTGAGCATGGGTGGGGTGGGGGGGGGGAGGGCATAGGTGCAGGTGTGTGTTTCATTCATGTGTGAGTATTGATTGTAACTAATATTCCACAATCTGCAGGTACTGTGCTATAAAGCAATTACCAACTTTTATTCCTGACTTTATAGTAACACTGAGCTTGAGGGGAAGATATTCTTAACCAATCTTCCACCAATATTGGGCAATGACAGAAATTAAACGTATGTTTCAAACTGCACCTATTTCCTAGTAAAGTCATAGACATGTGCACATAAATGACATACTTGAAATGTATCTGAAATAAGTTAAATAAAATATGACGTACTTTGAAGGCTCACACTTCGTCTGTACAGATGCATCTAAATGCAGGCATTCTTCTGCTTGGAGTGATGAGCCTTAGGGAGCTGCTTGTTCTCCTTCTTCTTGCACCTGCCTTGACTCATCTTCCTCTCCACCTATCTGTGTAGCAGCACCACTCCTTGGTGTTGTGACTCTGTAAAAATAACTGACTTTGTAACAAACCCTTACTGCTAAATACATAGGTAACATTAATGATGCCTATTCTAGCTCGTAACTCAGAGCTAACAAGAAGTTCAAAATTAAGTTGTTTGTTCAGCTGAGCTTTGCTTATAACAAAAAAGGCAAAATGGGGTAATTTCGACTATACCCAACTATCCATCTGATCTGGTCTGAGCTGAGCAACTTCATCCCTGTCCCTGCTAGTGGGAAACTCATTTGGTATCAAACTTACTAAGACAGGCACAAAAATTGGTAGGTTAGGTATGGGAAACAAAACAAAACTAATCATGGAAAAGGTGAGCTTTCCATTCATAAAACCCTAGCCTTCCATTCACAGCACATGCTTAATGTATTGCCAAAAAAGGTCCCTCAAAAATGGGTTATTCACCAATCCGGACAGCTGAAAAGCGAGCTGTCCATAAGGTGTATACAGATTTGCTATTCAACCAATAGGTAAACTCATAAATATCTGATGGGCACACTTAACGCCTGGCTACACTACCTATGCGTTTTCTGCATGCGTTTTTTGCGGGTTTGCGTGTTTTGCGAAATATCGCTCTAGAAAAGTAATTAATAATTTAACTTTTACATTAGCTATATACAAAAGTTAATAAAACTCTTATAGTAACTAAAATATAATACCAAAACATATCACAAAAACAATGTTTTTACTAGAACAATACTTTGAAAACCCGCAAACTCGCGAAACCCGCACGCAAAAAACACAGTGTGATGTCAGATGAGGTCAGATGAGTTTACCTTGGAGGACGAGTCAGGTTCCTGGATGGGACTGATGTAGGCAGCAGCTTCATGGCAGAATACTGCGGGGACAACTTAAGCAGTTCTGACCTGAGGTCTCTTTCATAGTCAGCAGTCACAAAATGTGAAGAACACAAACAATACTGGCGGAAGTTCTTCGGGAACGGCTCCCCTCTTTTTATGACCTGCCACCATCGCCTTGCCATCACTTCATCCGCTGGGAACTTATGATATTTGGTGCCGGACGCCTGGTTATTTCTCCTCCCGGACCCATTTCTACACGAAGGTTCCGCACAGTAAACCATCATATAATTTAAATCATCAGCAATCAGAAATCAAAGCAAAATGTTATAAATCACCAACTGATGCCCTATGAGCACCACGCAACAACCCACGACGCCTATGAATAATAAATATATCCGCGGCGACCCCCAATTACTTTCAAATGTCCCGAAAACCAATATACCTTGCCGAAAACATTCGACGTGATTTGATCTAGTGCATTACATTTTCGTAAACAAGGTAAAAATGACGTCATTTTGACGTCATAAAACATATCTTACACGTAAGTCGCACAGCCTCATTGTTGTTATGACGCAATCAAACTAATGCTAAACAGCGACCCTAGCTGAATATTTGCGTCAAGATATGTTTCATCTGCGCAATGTATGTCGTGATTAAAATGCTTCCATATCTCAAACTCTGACCGTACCTGTTATTTATAGGTATCTTGGTACATACACTGCGCAAGCCAAATGTCTCTGATGATGACTAAAACACTGCATAACGTTTTGAGGGAGCCATCAAGCAAAACGGATTGTGCAGCTGAAGAAAGCCATAGGAGCCAGTGAAAATGCTTGAAATATTTATGAGACGGGGGAAACATATCATTTTTTTGACAAAGAGTAGGTACAACCTAATTTTAGCGTTTCATGTTTGCCGTTGTCAGTTTTCTTAGTCACCGTGAGTTTTCTGTTTTTTTTTTTAGAAAGCATTCAAAATATGCTTCATTCATGAAGGCTATTGTATTCAGTCAGTATAAATAATGTATAAAACACATCTATGTGATGTATTTATGGTGTGTTTTTACTGAAGTTAGTATATTTTCAGGACTCTTTTGTTGGTCCACAAATTTCCTGTATTTTAGACGCCCTTCACTCCTATGCATTTATTGCGCAGGTGTTACTTTCATGACGCACAACAAACACGTCGCGATCGCGATGTGGCACGTGCATAGGGCACGTTGGTTGTATGAGGCACACATAATATCGTTACAAGAACAACGTGCGAGTAAAGAGCAATTCGAGAGCACGTTTTGCTGTTTGTTACTGTTTTTTTATTGCTATTGCTGAACTGTTCAAGAATGCTTACACTAGAGCAAATGATCTAAGACAATTTTTCAGTGCCAGTTTGAGTTAGATCAGTCTGAGTTGGTCTGAGTCCTCTTTATTTGTTGTGTCGTGTCTGTTAACTTGGCGATTTTAAGGCTTTGGTTTAACCTATTGAATCATTTGCCAAACATTTATCGTCTGCTCACTTCTGACTCTGCCCGATCACCACTGTAGAGAGAAATCTGAGAAATGCATCTTGACCAAAACACACCAAGGTACGAGATGCTCATTTCATTGACATCAACATGCAGAATATGATCCAATTTTCTTCATGGATTCTATTCATGGATCATGGATTCTATTTAGTTCTCATGTTTAGGTTTAGGTTTAGGTTTAGTCTCGTGAGCTGGTGTCAGACCAGGTCTGTTTGGTGCTCACATCATGACAAGACTTTCGGATCAGGTTGAGGAAACTGTGGCCCAGCGCAGCTTATCAAAGTTATTTTTGAAACTGTTGGTTGTTGAAGATTCAACCACTTCCTTGGGTAGCTGGTTCCACAAGTTTACTACTCGGTTTGAGAAGAACTTAAGTCTTGAAACATGTTTTGCCCTTTTCTTTACAAGCTTAAGTTCATGTCCTCTTGTTCTGCCCTGATGTGTCACCTCAAAGAACTGCTCATGATTCACTTCTACTTTTCCAGTCAGGAGCTTGTAGGTCTCAATCATGTCACCTCTACGTATCCTGTCCTCGATACTGGGTAGTTTTAATGTACGGAGGCGATCCTCATACGACATATTTCTAATTGCCTTTACCAGTTTGGTTGCCCGTCTTTGCACCCGTTCCAGAGTCTTCATATCCTGGACAGTGTGTGGACCCACTGCCTGGATGCAGTATTCGAGATGGGGACGAACATAAGTGGTAAACAGTGACTTGAAATTTTTCACATCGATCCTGTCAAACGCATTCCTCAGGAGACGGAGGGCTGTCATTCCTCTGTTGGCTGCCCATTGACAGTGTCTACTTGGCTTTAAGTCATTTGAGACAAAGACTCCAAGGTCCTTCTCTATTTCGGTCTCTTGAAGCTTTACGACGGTGTCATTGGCGTCCTTCATAAAGTAGTCTGTCCTTAAATTGTCCGTTCCACAGTGCATTATCTTGCATTTTCCAGGATTGAGTTTCAAGAGCCAATCATTTGACCAATCACTCAGCACATTCAGGTCTTCTTGCAGCCTGAGAGGATCATGACTGTCTTGTAAAGTACTGTAAATCTTTATGTCATCAGCAAACATCTTTACTTTACTCTTCAACAGGCTCGGTATTTCATTTACATAGACGAGAAACAGGATTGGGCCCAGTACTGAGCCCTGGGGGACTCCGCTGGTCACTTGACCCCAGTCAGAAGCCCCTTTTCCCACTACTACTTGTTGCTCTCGTCCATGTAGGAAGTCACTGATCCAGTTGAGTATACTTCCCTGAACTCCATAACTGTACAACTTGGCTGCGAGTCTTCTGTGTGGAACACTATCGAATGCTTTCTGGAAATCCAAGTAGAGTATATCCAGCCCGAGTCCTTCATCTATTCCTCTTGTCCATTCTTCAAGCACCTCCAGCAAATTTGACTGACATGACTTGCCTTTCCTGAAACCATGCTGATGATTTGACAATAGATCTTTTTCTTCGAAGTGACGCATTAACACCTGTTTAACAATTTTCTCCATAACCTTACACACCTGTGAGGTGAGACTTACGGGTCTGTAGTTTCCCGGCTCACTTTTTGATCCCTTCTTATATATTGGCACTACTCTTGCTCTTTTCCATTCTTGTGGGAGGCGTCCTTCTTCTAGGGTCTTGTTGAATAGCCTGGCAAGAGGTAGTGCCAGCTCATCTGCACATTTCTTAAGTATAATGCTTGGGATACCATCCGGTCCGGCTGATTTGTTCGTGTTTTGTCTTTCAAGCTCTTTCTTTACCATTATCTCAGTCACTTCAATATTTTCTATGGTATTATCTGCATCCACCCTGGCAGGACATAGTGGAATTGCATCTCCAGGTTCTGTTACAAACACTGATGTAAAGTATTTTTGAAGAACATCTGCTGTTTCCTTCTCGGTTTCAGTAAGTCCCCTTTCACTTTTTAGTGCTTGTATTACAGGTCTTGTTGTATGCTGCATGCGAATATACTTGTGCAGTTTCTTGGGGTCTTCTTTGATGCTGCTTAGCAATGATCTTTCATATTTATACCTTGTCTCTCTTATCAAGGTCGTTGTCTTATTCCTCTGTGTGGCATACCTCTTATAGTCCTCCTCTGATCTTGTTTCACAATATTTCTTGAATGTTTTGTGCTTGAGTTTGATTGACTTGATTATCTGCTTGCTCCACCATGGTGCTGTCTTTCTGTTGGTTCTCTTTTTGTGCAATGGTACATTTGCCTTCAGGCTTGTCTCTAGTGCATTTTTAATACCGCTCCACATGACTTCTACCCCAGCAGATTCCAGAAATCCCCAGTCTACTTCTCTTAGTGACTCCTTAATTTTCTCAAAGTTAGCTTTGGCAAAGTTCCGTTTGGTACAAGTTTCAAATGTCTTGTCTGCATCAGAAAATTGGTAGTTCCAAGTCAGAACCGCGTGGTCACTTTTTCCAAGTGGATCTTCTGTAAATGTTCCATTGGATGTTCCATTGGATGAAGTTGTTATGAACCGTGTTCTTAACAATATGATGTTGAATTGCCATTTGTGATATAAAATGCTTTAATTGTTTGATCTTTTTGATGCTTGCAGTCGTACAGATAAGCCATTTTTATGATAAATATCTGGAGACATGATCATGGCTCATGGATTTAAACATTGTTAAAATCACAATACCTTAGGCCAATGGGTCAATTTAAGAGGCTGCTTCCAGAGTCTGTAAATAGTTAAAACTCTTATGGCCACTGATGATCCTGCCTGTTGGTTTTGTCCCACAGTGATGCTGCCGTATCTGAGCTGTCCCAGTTCCTGAAGGCGGACACCAGAACTGATGTGAAGGCAGCAGCCCTGCAGCATGTGCTGGGTATGTCTTACATATTACAGAATAGGGTCACTTCAGTGGCTGATTGTTAACCTTTGTTGTAAAGGACTGAGCAAATGTTAAAATTAAAGTATTACATTGGGCATTCACCCAAACTAAGATGCAGTCACCTCTGTTGTACTTTGACTGCAAGTCTGACTGGCCCAGTGTGCTTACTGCAGGTATGATCTAGTCTGGCTGCCATTTGTTCATTGTAGGTCTGACAGGCTTGCTATGTTCACTGCAGGCCAGGTCAGCTAGTGTGTTCAATGCATGTGTGATGGTCTCACTATTCACTGCTGGTATGATACAGGGAAGGGACGCTGTGTGCTCACTGCACTACCTACATTAATTGTGTCTGTGTGTTCACTGCAAGTCTGACAGGTCTCTGTTTCTTTACTGCAGGCATGACAAGTTTACTGTGTTCACTGCAGATTGGATATATGGTCTGTGTCTTTACTGCAGGTCTGATGTATGGTCACTGTGTTCACTGCAGGTCTGATATATGGTCTGTGTCTTTACTGCAGGCCTGATATATAGTCACCGTGTTCACTGCAGGTCTGATGTATGGTCTCTGTGCGTTGACTGCAAGTCTGATATATGGTCTCTGTGCATTGACTGCAGGTCTGACGGGCTCGGAGGCCGGCCGCCGCCAGCTGCTGGCCGCTGCCGATGTGCTGGCCCAGCTGAAGCGGCTGGTGGCCGAGGACCGCTCGCCGGCCGGCCACGACGCCAGCCTGGCGCTGCTCAACCTGTCGGGGTTCGCGGCGGCCGGCGCGCCGCTGCTGGCCGCGCCCGGGCCCAACACGGCCGAGCTGCTGCTGCGCCGCGCCGTGCAGACCGACAGCCGGCTGGCCGACGCCTGCTGCATGGTGCTCTCCAACCTGAGCCGGCACCCGGCCGGCTGCGCCGCCATCTGGCGGTGTCTGCGCGACGGCAGCGCCGAGGCCGACGGCGCCGTCACCGTCGAGCGGCTGGTGCTGGCGCTCTGCCAGCGCGGCTTCAACACAGTCGGCTGCAAACTCGACTACCTGGGGCCGCTGCTGTCCAACCTGACCCAGCTGCCCGAGGCCAGGAGGTATGTAGGGGGAGGGGGGTCACAACTCACAGCTCGACTACCTGGGGCCGCTGCTGTCCAACCTGACCCAGCTGCCCGAGGCCAGGAGGTATGTAGGGGGAGGGGGATCACAACTCACAGCTCGACTACCTGGGGCCGCTGCTGTCCAACCTGACCCAGCTACCCGGGGCCAGGAGGTAAGGGCGGGTCCCAACTCGACGACAACCTGGGCCCTGGGGCCGCTGATGTCCATCCTGACTCAAGACCTCTTTTTCTCTTTGTGATGACTGATGACTGACTTTTTTGAAGACGACTGTTATTTTTTCTCGTTATGCGTAACGCATGCTTAGTAATGATAGGTTAGTAGTTCGCATTCACAGATAATAATCTGTTTCTTTTTATAGTTTCCTCATTCAACGTAGGCTAAATGAGTAAAAGCGGATCTGTGTGTTTTGTGACGATAAATGCCTGCGTGTTCTGTTTCCTTATCCTGCTCAACTGAAGCTGAATGTTTGACCGTCGGACTGCGACCCTGGTACACGGCCTCAGGGGTGATTGATATCCGCGTGTTGCGTGTTTCGGCAGTTACATGCTGGACCGGGACCGGGTGGTGTTCCAGCGACTGCTGCCGTTCACAGACTACCAGGAGTCGCTGGTGCGGCGAACCGGCGTCATAGGCGCCATCAAAAACTGCTGCTTCGAGACCGGTGAGGCGCGCGCCGCCGGCCGGCTGGTGTCGTGGGCCGGCGGGTGGTGGGCGGGCAGAACGGGCGAGGTCCGTCTGTGTGAGGCGCCCTTCAGCGTGGTGGCACATTTTTGGGAATCTTAATTATCGAGCGGAGATGATGGTTGGGCTTGCGCCGGTCCGCTACTAATTTATCGAGTGGGATAGGTCTCTGTAATATGACAGCCACATGTATGTAGTTGCTATTGGCCTTCAGACAGTCATATGTAGCTGCTGGTTACCTGACTGTCCGCCGGCCCTCAATCATACGTGGCTCACTACTGTTGGCCCTCAGACAGTCACATGTGGCTGCTGGGCCCGGACGTGGACCTTCTGCCGCGCCTGCTGCTGCCGCTGACCGGGCCAGAGCCCTACGATGACGAGGACATGGAGAAGCTGCCCGTGGACCTGCAGTACATGGACGAGACCAAGACCAGGGAGGCGGACGTCGACATCAGGAAGATGCTCCTGGAGGCCATCACTCAGGTAGGACGGTGCCCGGCGGCCGCCGCGGTCCGCCTGTCAGGCACGCCCGTTCCTGCAGGTCGTACGTCCGTGCGAGCCGACTCTCCCATCGCATAGTTTGATACCGGTTCATGTACGGACATCCCGCCGGTTCAAGACATGTCACATGTGCGAGGTTCGTATGATGGATCCCTGGTATACACCACACAGGTGTCGGGTGATGATGCGTCAGCACACAGCTGTCACCACTTGTGGAGCGTGCTCAGCTGTTACATCAGCGACTAGGGCGGCTGTAAAGTACTGTCTCCACGTGTAAACATTTTCGGTTTTTACGCGTTTTAGCAAACGAGAGTTTTTCGCTTTTTTCGCTTTTTTACAGACGCTTTTGCGAGTTTTGCGAGTTTTTCGCTTTTTACGGTTTTAGTTTGTCAGTCTTTCAGAACAATTACAATTTCAGAACAATTTCAATTTCAGAGTGAGAACATCGTTCTCCGCCCTTCGTGCGCTGTATGCCGTGGCCCTCTTGTCCCACAGGGCACTGGTATCTGGCGCACGGCTTCTATTAACCCCTCGATTTACGCTGTAAAGATAGTTAAAGGGGTATCATCACGTTACCCTATTGTTATCACCGCTATGACATCAGTTAATTATCAATTATCTGAAATGATCTGATATCGTAATATCTGTTATCCATAGACTCACTATGTAATTATTTGACATCCACATCGTTGGAATAGCAACAGAAGTTATTGGTATGGTTGTCTGAGTACTTGCCATGATCATTGGCTTAATCAAATTGCGTTTCATCGCTTTCCACGCTTTCCATTGCATCTATTTCACCGTAAAATGGTATTAATAGCAGAATGATTACCTCTTTAGCCTTCTCAAAAACCGGAAAACTTTCATTCGATCCAAATGTTTGGATAAAATCGCGCGTTTTTACAAATGCGAGTTTTGCGCTTTTTAAAAGTTTTACGAGTTTTGCATGACACAACTGACGCGTTTTACGAGTTTTGCAGTTTTTTTAATTTTATGAAGCCACGCGTTTTTCGATTTTTGACAAATCTTCCGCCGTGGAGATGGCACCGTGTAATTTAATGGTACAGATCAACGCCGGATCATGAAAAACTCGCAAAACATCAAAAAAGCGTTAAAACGTCATTAAAAACGCGCAAAACATGTACCGTGGAGAACGACCTTAACTAGCAACCTCCACACCCGCGGCAGTTATGCTCAAAGGTTTCATATAATATGCAGTTCAGCATCAGCTCTTTGATCCTTTCTTTGATGAAAAATACCGCCTCTATCGTTCTACTATTTATTACTCCTGCCATTCTGATCGCACAGTGACACGTTGTATTTGCGGGTAGCAGTTCGGCGTTGTTTTGTACCGGTATCCGTGTGACGCCCCCCCCCCCTCCCGTCCATCAGCTGTGCGCCACACGCTCTGCCCGAGAGCGGGTCCGCGCCCAGGGCGCCTACCTGATCCTGCGTGAGTACCACAAATGGGAGACGGACGAGGCGGCGCTGGAACTCTGCGAGGAGCTCGTCAATATCCTCATCAAGTGAGTCAACTCTGTAACGGCGTGTATGCCGCGTCAGAAACCGGCCGTCCCTCACAAGGGATTTCTATCGTAACTGCGTAGCATCATCTGACGTGCATTGTGTCTGGGGGGCGTTTTCGACTGATGGTTCGTTAAAAGCAACGATCTTACTCGATGTATGCACAGCTCTCTCCCCCGTTATGCTCGGTAACCAGCCGTCCCCCTCCCAGTGCCCGGTCCGTAATCCAGCCGTCTGGTCCCGCAGGACGGAGGACGAGATTGGCGTGGACGACCTGAAGGCCGTCCAGATCCCCAACGACGTGGCCGAGCGGCTGCACAAGGAGTCTTCCGCGGCGGCGGAGCAGCCGCTGCCGGCCGACACCACGTGACCCAGCACACACCCTCTCTGCCTCCTTTTGAATATATTTACAACAACTTGGACTTGTGCTGTACATGAAAATGAAAGGCTCGGATAAACCATGAATGAAACGATTTTGATTCGCTCTCCCTCCCGCGCGGCGTCGGCCCGGGGCGCGTCGGCCGCGCGCGCGCGCGCTGTTTGGCACCGCGCGTGGCCGGACCACCACCACAAACGAGGGCGCGCGCTGGGCGGCAGAAGCTCGGCGGGCCGGGCGGCGGTGGCGGCGGCGGCGGCGCGTCTCCGTCTCCCCCGTGTACTCTGCGCTCCCCCACACAGGGGGCCGCCGCGCGAGAAACGAGCCCACGGCGCGCCAGTACCGGCCAGCCCGATGAGAATGTTATGAACACAAAACAACACACAAAATGGTTCATGAGCTGCAAAAGGTATTGTCCTCCCAGTAATAGCATGCACTGTTCTCTGGCGCTCGTCAGTCGAGCGCACGGCGGCATCATTCAGACTGTACAGCCGCCGCACGCACATACGCACACACACACACACACACGCAAACAGTCAGACCTACCAAGTTAACATCGCTTTATAGCTCAAATAAACCTACTATTGTACTATTCGTAAAGTATTTAACAAAAGAGGAAAATATCCAGTCCAATGATTTAAATAAAACAAACACACTACGCTTACTTATAAATATTGGACCAAATGGATCCACAACACTGATAGGTATGTTTCTCGCACGTGGCGTTCTCTCGCTCCCTCTCTCGCTCGCAGGCTCAGTCGCTCTGTCGCACATAGGTTTGTATTGGGCGGCGGTCGCGGCCGTCCGTCACTGGACACACTGGCGCGCGCGCAGCGGCGGCGGTATGGACACGTTTGGTTCACTGGCGGCCGGCCGGCGGGCGGCCACACTGTCCCCACACCACAGGCGGGGGCTGAGACGGCGGCGCGGCGCCGCCCGGCTATTGCATGAAGCCGCCGTAGTCGGGTTGGTCGCCCTCCTTTTCGAACCGTTTCGCCTCCTCCTGCATGGTTTCCTTTATTTTCAGAATGGCCGCTGATTCGTTCGAGTCCTGCGGGAGGGGCGGGCGTCAGTCGGCAGTCTGCAGGCGCCCGGGCACTCAGCGACGCTCCACCCGCCAGCGGTGGACCACGGTCCCTCCACACCTCCACCAGACTATATAAGAACGCGTTAAATAAACCACAACGTACGACTACCAGCGAACTCCCTGCTGTTATAGTTGCATAAAACAATGAACGTTTTAAGAATTGCTGGTCAATCGTTCGCAAAAAAGCGGAGACTGAACTGGAGTGAAACTCGCGTGTGCACGTCCTATAAATTATGAATTTAAGCAGACCCTCATCACCCGTGTTCCCCCCCGCCCCCCCCCCCCCCCCACCCTCCAACCGTCAGCCCGATACAGCGGTGCCGCATGGGAGGCTCCACCGCTCGCCGGTGCTAGGTGGCGCGCTACCGTTCCCGGCCATTCACCCCGTTATCGCTGACGTCACCACACTGAACACCAGCCGATTGCAAGCTGACGTGGCTGACAGGGCTGCTGTCGGCCCCAGTGGCATGTGCGTGAATATTTCTGAGATATCTATCCGATTCAATATTGATCCTATTGGACAAATTTAGAGAAAAAAATAATCGTGCGGGTCAGATGTAACACTGATGATGGCTGGCTCGTGGCCGGACCGTTTTATCGTGCGCCATTCAGCCAGGCGCAGGGGTGGCCGACCGCCCGGAACCCTCATCAGTAGCCGTAACTGCCGGTCCGGCGGAGACCGTCCCCAGCTGCCCCACTGCCAACACCAGTGTCGCCCCACGGTTATCTCCGTGGCGGCCCGCGTCCCCTGAATCTCCGGCTCCCGGGGCGCACCGCCGGCCGCCAGCGACACCTGCCGAGCGGCCGGCCCGGCTCCGCCGCTGCACCTGCGGCCCCAGTCGGCCCCGCGGCCCGGCTCTCAGTCCTCCTCCACCCGCAGTCCGGGGCCGGCACGGCCCGAAACGCCACAGCCACGCCCGTCTGTGTGTATTTGATGGAAATCACGCCCGCCACTGGATAAGACAGTCACCGCTGCTCTCGCTCGCGGCTGCTCGGGGCCTCGGCCGGTGGCGGAGAGCCTCGCTCCGGCCGCCGCGGTGACATTCACGGTCTCGGGACGCCCGAAACACGCTAATAAAAGTCCATCGGCGCTCAAAACACGCCCGGAAAAGTTTGTCTCGGGCTGACAGCGAGCTCGGCTGGGTCGTGGCTGGCCGGGCTGCCGCCGCTGGTCAGCTGCCGCCGCCGGTCCTCGGTCGGTCAGCCGGTCCGTTGTAGGTCAGTCGTGGTCCGAGTGGCGGTCCGACACGCCGCCGCTGGTCCGTTGTAGGTCAGTCGTCGTTCAGGTGGTGGTCCGACGCGTCGCCCTCGCACAGAGCGTCGTCGTCGCAGACACTAACACCGCCGCGCCGCCGCCGACACGGCGACAGCGGGAGTCACAAGGCGCCGCGGCCGGCCGGCCGGCAGACGCATGCGATCCGCCGCCGCCGCCGCCGCCGCTCTCCGGCATGCACGCGCGCGCTCGTCACTCCCAGACGTCGGGGCGCGGCGACCAGTCCCAGGGGCGCGGCCGTCCGGCGGCCGCCCGGCCTGCCGGCGACTCGGGCGGCGCGTCACTCACATTGTTCTCGGGCGGCGCGCCCGCGTAGCCGCCGATGCTGTACTCCTGCAGGGTGCCGTTGTTGGCGTCGTCGCGCGGCGTGCCGGGCCCGTTGGCCGGCGAGTTCTTCATGCCGTCCATGTCGCCGTTCATGCCGGGCGGGTGCGGCCCGTCCGCCATACTCGTCATCGGGTACTCCTGGGGACGGCCGACCGGGCGGCGTCAGTCACGGGCGATCACGGCCGGCGACAGGGAGAACGTTGGACGTTGGACAACAGACGTTGGACGAGAGCGCAACTACTCAGGCGAATAGTTTATTTCAAGACGGATAGTCATGAGCATTGAGCTAAATGCATTAATAAATAGGGCGAGACTTCAACGAAGCCTGTCACGATTTGGTTTGACAACAACTCTCGAATGAACAAATTAACTGAGAAAAGCATTCAACTTTCTTCCTCACAGTCTACCCCTATAAAACACTACCCCCCCCCCCCGGACAGGCGCGGTGCGCGCGCGCGGGTACGTACGCCGTGCATGGAGGGGCCTCCGCCGGGCACCTGTTTCATCATGCCGTACATGGGGTCGCCGCCGGGCCCGTGGTCCTGCGGACTGGGCATGATGGGCGTGCCGGGGCCGGGCGGCACCTGCGGCAGCGGCCAGGGGCGCGGCGCGTCAGTGGCGCGTCAGCGGGCGCCGGGTGGGTCGGCTGGCGCCGGCGGACGGCGCGGAACGGTGGCACGGCACATAACAGAGGAGAACGAACACAGGGTGAGACGGCGGCACTCACATCACTCACACTGGAGATCAGACGGTGTCGAGTTTACTTTAACTGATCGCTAGTACTGCCCAACATATACCATCGGAACAGCAGCCCACAAATCTCCACTCCCGCCACGAACCCCACCGCTGCTGTAAGCGGCCGTCCGGCCTGCCCGTCCCGTCGCGTCCGACTGACTCACCGACGAGCCGTGTGGCCAGTGCGGCGGCCGGTGGGGCCCACCGCCGGGGCCCGCCATCGACATGGCGGGCAACTGGCCCGGACCGGGGCCCAGCGTGTTCGGCGGCGGGCCCCGCATCCCCGGCGGACCGTACTGCATGCCAGGGCCCATGGGGCCCATGCCGGGACCCATGGGGCCCCGCGGGCCGACCATGCGCGGGCCCATGCCGGGCGGTCCTCCTGTAACACAAGACGGACGTCAATGGAAGAGCCGGGGGACAGGTCCGTGACACTGTGTTCCGACTTCCCCACGGATTGTATCTCCCCGCTGACGGCTCAACTGTCCGGTACGGCCGTCTATTGGCAGCGACAGACGACAGCCGGCGGGCGGGATTTCCTAACCGGACAGAATCAATTCACGACGCCACGTAGGTATCAGTATGCTCATCACACGGCACAGGAAGACGATCCCGAACATCGACTCACGATCGGCGGGAATAAGACCGGTTTCAACTGAGCCCTTCACTGTGTTCAGTTTGTGATCTGCGCATATCTCTTTTTGCCAAAGACGTGGCATCGAAGGCGTCATACAATATACGAGCTCATGTAAGAAAAGACGCACCAGCATCTACAGCTAACCTTGCTGCGTGGCCGCCGACGGCACTACAGCATCCAACAAGTGACACAGTTCGGCGCAGCTGGATGTTTCATACAACAGCTATCGGTGACATACAGCCGGCGCCATGTCACCGGGCACACAGACACACAGACGGCGGCGACCACAGTGCTGGGTGCGGTGCTGACGACGCGCTGGTGCGGCGGACGGCGTGCACACACACAGACACACCGGGGACGGGCGGCCAATGTACAGAGGGGCCGCCGCGAGGTCCACAGGCGGCTAGCTAACGACCGGCGAGCGAAGGGACACCGCGCGGGGAGAGCCGCGACAGACAACGTACGGTGCCGGGGCGCACTGGCGGACCAAAGGCGGCGAGCGGCGATCAGCGGGCCAGAGCCGCTGAAAATATGGTCAATGGTCATGTTCTTTCGTATCAAACGAAGGAACTTTCATGAAAACAAAATGCTAATCTAGGTGCAAAAAAGTGCACGCTATAACTTCTTTGGTATTTTAGAGATTCGCCGCTCCACCGCAGTTCGTAGCATCCACCAGTGCGCACGGCCGTATACATATAACAAGTTTAAAAGCACGACACCGATTGAAAGGTAACTAAACCGAGTATGGCATACTCTTAGTATGCAATGAGCCCTCAATATGATTTACACGAATAAAAGATGTATCAAGCCATCCTAAAAACATAGCCGAACATGCCTACTGGTTAAAGTAAAAGCGATCTATGTTTGAAAGGTGAACATTCAGTTGCGACACCTGGCGGCGTCTCAAACGGCTAGGTCGTGAGGGGGCCCCTTGGGCGTGGGTAAAGAGCGGGTCAGGTCAGGTCAGGTCGCTGGTTATTGGGGCGGCACGCGGCATGGAGGCGCGGCAATGGAGACGGACCCACCTAGTATTCATTATGATGTCAGATCCTCAATGTGTTCAATGTTCGCACAGCAGAAAATAGCAAAAGACCTACGTCGAAAAGTCGTGGATTGTGTCAATCTGTGCTTGAAGGACACATGCTAATTTACCCGATGTGACTGATAAAAATAAGATATTTTGCAAGTGTCGCAGAATGTTTCACAAGGTCGTTAAGAGCTCAAAGTTAAGCTGAGCGTAGGCCAGCCTCTCACGCTGCGCCGGTCTGTGAGAGAGCGGTATCCCGGGGACCGACAGACTGCGCCGGCACCGGCTAAATGACGTGCCGTCCCTCACGCCCTTCCCCGCCCGAAAAGTCGGTTATGTCGGTTAGTCCCGCCACCATCAAATCCCCCCCCCCCCCCCCCCCAGAAGCTTTCCAAAGCCTTCCACCTCTGCTGAATATGGCTGCCCCTGCCGCCGGCCCGCCCGGCTGACCCGCCGCCCACCAAGCCGGCTAGCTGCCCCTGCCGCCGGCCCGTCCGGCTAGCTGACCCGGCCTCGGGCTGCGTGTTTGTATGTTTGTGTGTTTGTGTCGGTGAGCGTACCGCAGCCAAGCCGTGATCGAAACACAGCAGCACAACACGCAACAAACGACACCGGACCACATCACACCGAGAGAGAGAGCCGGGGAAGAGAGATAGAGCGAGAGAGAGACGGAAAGAGGTAGGCAGCCAGGGGCCGGCCGGGCACAGGGTGACAGACAGACAGACAGACAGACAGAGAGAGGGGCGGGGAGCGCGGGCGGCGGAGGGCGACGGCGCCCGCTCCGGCCTACCTTGCCAACCTAAATACTCGCCGTCGCCGCCTACGGACAAAGGGCAGACAGAGGGGCGGGCGTCAGGGGCCGCGCGGCCACCGCTATCACCCGCCCGCCGCGCCGTGTGCTCTACTGGGACGGTACAAGCGGTACAGACTACAGCGCCACGGCAAAGGCGCGCCAACGGCCACTTAGGCCGAGTGTGACCCGCAGCTCTTTACTTGACAATGCAAAATTACAGTGAACTGAGTATGTGAGCTCTGGCATTGGTTAGCAAGCGAATAAACAAAACGAAGGGGCGAGCGAACAAACAAGGGAACGAAAAGTCAAAGTTGCATAAAACAATATCAAACCTTTCGGAAAACAATCAAATCTTGGGATTCCTCCACACTTCGATGATCATTGCTTTTGCAAATGTGCATAGATAGGCAACTGAAGTTGATCAAGTCTTTAATAAAAATAGAAACCCAGAAATCAGATATGGACTTGAAAGAAAGCATTCGACAAATATGTACCGTAAAATGTTAGGTGGGGCAAAGTACGCAAATCAGCCGAGTATTTGTTTTTCGTATATTTTTCAGATTTTCAGCATAATGTATGTTTAATCCCCAGAGTATTACCTCAGTGCCACCCTCTCCGTTACCCGTGTGGCACCACCAGCGCGGCGCTGCGCTCCCGCCCGGCCCTGTGGCAGCGACCTGACCTGACCGGCGAGGCGGCGCTGGCCGCCACTGAAACTCACCTGGTCGAGTGGGGTCCATACTGGAGGGCATCATCGGCTGGCCGGGAGGCTGGGGGCGGAGACGGACGCGTTAGACCGCACGGCAGGGAAACGGGTGGGGGGGGGGGGGGGGGTCTGGGGATCGCCGGGTTATCATCCCATCCAGGTAAAGAGGGTGGGATATCATTCACCTTCCACACAAAAACGCATTGCTTCAGATAACAGAGTTACCCAGCTCACCAGAGTTTGCTGCTGAGCCCCAGCCATTCCATTCCAACTTAACAATCATCAGACGAAGACCCGTAAAGGCGACCCAACACAGGCAGCATGGCCATTCATACTCACCCCGTTGAACTCGCCCATGTTTCCGGGCATCCGAACTCCTGGCCGGGGCCCGCCCGGAAACCGGGTCGGCATGTACTGCAACGAAACAAAACAGTGCGTCATTATCAAGGGTCGGCATGTACTGCGACGGAACAGAACAGCACATCAGTATATAGAGTCGGCATGTACTGCAACGAAACAGAACAGCACGTCAGTACATTGGGTCAGTGATCAGTGATGGCTCCCACAGCTCTGAACACATCAGCATCGCCGTGAACAGCGCTCCTCCACCAGATGGCGGCCCAGCCCGGCGGCCGGCACCGAGCGGACAGGCGCCAGGTGGCAGCTCGGGCGGCGGACCGGCAGGGGGCGCCGCCGGGGGCCCGGCTGGGCCGCCCGCCGCCCGGCTGGCGGTGGGCGGCCCGTCGCCGGCAGTTGGCCGCCAGCCGCCGCCCGGAGTGAGGGTGTCCGGAGGGACCCCGTCCGCCCCGAGCAGCACGGTGAGCCATGGCACTGCCGGAGCACCCCGTCACAGCAGCAGCGGAGACGGCGGTATCGCAGCCCCCGGTAAGTCCCGTGACCCGCTCTCCCCCGGTTGTACCCGTTTCAAACATCGCGGTCCTGCACAGCTCAGGGTTTGTTCAAAATTGGCGCAGACGTCCGACTTTGTTGACTAACAGAGGAATAACAATCCAGAACAATACTGTCTCAAAAAGCAGAACGCTCGAGCAGTGCCGCCCACCTCTGGTTCAAAGGTGGTAGGCAGGTAGTGCCCACTGCGGATCGCTATGTAGGTGACTGAGCTCCCACTACAACCGGCGGGAGCGCCGGGTCGCTCAGCTCCCAGCCCGTGCTTATTTACCGAGCAGCCGCCGTCTGTGGCCGACTCACTGCATCCGACCGCCGTCACCGTCAGCACATTCTGACGCAACGCGCTGCTCTAGGCATGTCGTCAGCGTACCCGACATGCCCCGCGCCGCAAACGAATGTCATTCGGAATGCCGGGGCTGAGTTACGGCCGCCAGATAACCCGGCAAACCGACAGGACCAGACGGCCAGATCCGTATCCGCGCCGCCGCAGTGGCCAGCTCCGCCTGTTTACAGATGTGTACTGGTACGTAATGAGTTCGCTGGGTCGGTGTCCGCTGTCGGCGGCGGACGGACGCCGCCCGGGTTCGTCTGAGAGCTGACACACCAGATGCCGGCCGGCTGTCACTGACGGACCCGGTGGCAGCCGGTCCGGTCAGCTGGTCCGTCAGTCCGACGGACCCGATACAGTCACGGACCCGGCGACACGGACGGCGGCACCCGGACCGGCCGCCCAGCCGGCTGACCAGCTCACTGCCACCTGCCACCGGCCGCGGCTCAGACTCAGGTTCAAAGCTGGAAACAGACGCGGCTATGATCAGCGGCCGACTCTGTCAGACGCGGCTGTGTTCGGCGGGCGACTCTGTCAGACGCGACTGTGTGCATCGGGAGGCTGTGTTCAGCGGCTACCTGTCAGTGTTTGTGAAGCGGGCGGCTCCGTCAGACGCGGCTGTGTTTGGCTGTGGTGTTCGGCGATGGTGTCGACGGGCGGCTCCGTCCCGGTCGGCCGCCGAGCGGCGTGCTCCGCCGGCCGGCGCCGCTCCACCTCACAGCCCAAAACGGGCCGGCGACAGCGCGATACAGCACGGCCAGAGATCGAACCCCTGTTCACACACGGACAAAAACAAGCGGCAACACTCGCGCGCCGGCACCGCGGCGGCCAGTTACACAAACGAGCAAACACTTGACGTCCTATCTGGCGCCGCGGCGCCGACACGGGCGCCGTCTGCGATAGGGCAGGCGGTCGGCCGGGCCCGTCACCGCTCGGCCACTGTCGGCGGGCGGTCCGGCGGCGACGTCCGTCCCTAATTCAGCGGAACGGCCCGCCCGGCGCCATGCATCAAATCGGCCATCGGCCGGATTAATCATAAATTACGCCGCCGCCGCCACCGTCTCGGCCGGCAGGCCAGCGCCGCCCTCGGTCGTCGGCCCCGCTGTCGGCCGGCGGAAGGCTCCGTTTCAAAGGGCAGCCGCGCCGATCGGCGGGCTCACGATTTCGGCGGCGCCGGCCCGGGCCGGAGTCGCAGGGAGCCGTGACTCGCAGTTCGGCGGCGCCGGCATCCGGTGCCGACCCGCCGCGCCGGACCACTCGTAATACACGCGCCGATGATTTGTTGCAAATTGCATGAATACATTAATGGCGGACGGTAATGGCGCGCGGAGTCGTAGGCAGCGCGCGCCCTGCCGCCGGTCACACCCCCCGCTGTGACACAGCCGGCCGTCCACGGCGCCAAATGGCCATCATTGGCGAATAATGACGGCGAGAACGACCGATTGCAGCCAGTCGGAGTAGGTGCCGGACCACCCGTTCACCCGTTACAAATTACCGGTCTCGCCGGCCGGACGGAGCGCCGCGCCGTGCAGTGGGAGTGTCTGTGTCTGTGTGTGTGGCCGCGCCCGTAGCCCGCTGCCACCGCCCATCTGTCGTCGGCTGGCGGCCATCTGAGCCGCGGCGGGCGCAGCCAAAACAGAGTGCCCGCCGCCGGCCGGCGGCTGCTGACTGCAACACCGCGCCGCCAGCCGCTAACTGGGTACCGCCGTCAGCGCGCGGCGGTCCGCCGGCCGGCCCGACCTGACCCAGCGCTGACCGGACCGATTTACGGCGGCCGCTGCGGCGTCAACAGAGCAGTCGGCCCGTGCCGGCCGGCCAGCCGTCTATTTTAGTCAGCCGTCCATCGCTGGATAACACGGCGGCTGAGGGTGCGACACGGCCGGCGCCGTCTCAGATAGCGGGCTGTCCGCCGGCCGGTGACGGGGCCGGGACGGCGCGGTCACGGCGGTACACGGGTCAGACCGGCGCGCTAACGGCGGTACACAGGTCAGACCGGCGGAGAACACGGCCGGCCGACACGGACATCCCAGGGACACGGGGGGCCGAGACTGGGACATCGACTGTCGACTGAATGATGAGTTGACGGAGCCGGTGTCACCAAAATAAGCTACATGTTGACACATGGCTGGAGTGTTGTTGAATGATAAGATGTCGACATGACAGGACAAGATGCTAATCCATCTATTGAATCTGACAGCCGCACAATCTAGGTTAAACAAATGTCCTGCAGCCCAGCCCCACCAATGCACGTAGACTGCCCTCGCCAGCGCTAGTCGGCCCAGGTCTGCCATCAGCCGGCCGACCCTGCCGTGCACGGCTGAGCGGGGCGCGGCGGGCGCCGGCCGGCGAGCACCTGCCGTCGGCACCCCATCCCGGCGCGCCGCGCCGCGTCCGGGCGTGATTCGGCAGCCTAATGGCGCTTTAAGTGGGCTGTGACAGGCGCGGCTGCGGTCGGCCCGCGCCGCCGTCTAATGCGCTCAGCTGGACGCTAATTCGGCGTGCGCGCGCCGCCGGAAAGGTCCGGAGTGGTGCGGTGGATACACCGGACGGTGGACGGGGGTAAGACGCCGTCACCGGACTCCTACCCCGCCCCCGACTGCCCGCTGGCGCCGCGGCCATCCATTGTCGGCCACTGTAGACACACTACTGCCGCCGGAAACTGATCGAAGCAGCTTGTTACCGCTCCCAATAACGAGCTTGTTACACCCTTGGCCAGCAATGGTCGTGCAGGCCCGGTCTGTCGGACGATTTGGAGCCGGCTGCGGTTCCGGTCCGGGTCAAGGTCCGCCCACCGACCTAATGATGACTCCCGATGGCGAGTCACGCCCGCGTCTGCCTGTTCCCTGACGCGGCTGTGTGTCTGTTTAGCGGCGCGACTGCCGCCGGAGGCCGGTCCGCCCCCGCGGCGTCCGGGCGCGTCTGAGGGCCGCCCGTGCCGCGTGTCGGCTTACATCAGCGGCATAGAGCGCCGCCCACACCGCCTCCGCCACCGCGCACGCGATGCCGCGGCCGATCGTCCGTCAGCGCCGCCCCGTTACTGCAGCGCGGCCAGACCCCCGGTCAGCGCGCCATGAGCGATGGCTGCCGCTGGCGTCCGTGAGCTGGCCGGAGGCCGCACGCGGCGCCCACCGCCATCGAGCGGCCCGTTCAGATCGAGCGGCCGCCACCGTGCCACGGCGTGTGTCGTGTGCCACACGACCCTGCACTGACCGGCACCGGGCGGCCCGCCCGCCGAGCGCCTAATGGCATACCGGCGCGGCCCCAACACGCCGGCACGCCCCTGAATGTATGTGGGCTCTCTGAATGTCGGCACCGTCGCCAACTGGTCAATGTCTCCCCCGAGCCGGCGGCCGGTGCAGAGCGGGTCGGGCAGGGCACTGCCGATCAGGCAGCGGGTATCTACATTCGGGCCACGTCTGGGCCGTGAATCTGATCGGGTGGGTCGGCCGAGTTTCACTGGGACGGTGCCGGCTCCCCATCCCTCTGTGGCAGGGCAGAGCGGACACAGCATCAGCAGTAGATCCAGGACTCGCTCCGCCACCGCCTAAACACAGCCGCGGCTGGCGCAGCGGCCCACATAACGCGCATTCCGTGACTGAGAGCGGCGGCCACCGGCACCGGTGACTATTTTCCGCCCATTAGGCCTGTCTCCCGACCAGAGTCGAACCATAACGCGCGCCGCGCCGGCCCTATTTCGCAGAGCGCCGAGCTGGCGGCGGCGCCGGCAGCCCCACCCGCGGCTGACGCGCCGGCGACACGCGAAGCTCGCCGCGCGCGCCTGCAGCGTGAACGGGCGGCCGCGCTCAAAGCGGCGCGCTGCGATCCGCGCGGCGATAAATGACGCGCTCGGTGGGCCGGCGGCGGGCTGAGCTCGGCCTCCCCGGGCGCCGGGCGGCTGGCGGCGGCCGCTTCCCTCCGTCATTAGTGAGACGGGACGGTCCGCTATCGCCGGCGCCGCCGATAGCCCGCCGGCCGGCCCTATCGCGAAACGAGGTCGGTTTAACGAACGGCTCCCGGCCACGCAGCCGGCTCCGGCCCGAGCACGACCGGCCGGCCGCGGCACACGGTATAAGCGCGCCCGCTCACACCCTGATACCGTCGAAGGCCTGTCTCTGCCCGGTGAATCATCGTCCCATCCGGGCTCCGTCGGCGATATGACGGCGGCGACACGTGTCGACCGGCGGCGGGCGCTGGGAATCCACCGGTCACGGAGCCGCGACACACCGGCGCGCCGTCCGTACGGCCCGGAGGGACCGAGGACAGGAGAGCCGCGCCGGGGCAGCCGCGCATCCCGGCGCCGCGCCGTGCCGCGCCCCGTCCGCGCCGTGATGGGCCGATCGGATCTCGGCCCGGTCCGTGTTGGCCGGCGGTACTACACCGGCGCCGGCGTGTTATACCGGCGTCGTTAGCCAGTCGTGAACGGCCGACATAATACGGCCGCGGCGAGCCGGCTGACGGCATTCAGACGCGCCATGATTCCCCGGTCTCGGTTCACGTGTTCGGTGCGCTGCACGCCGGCTTAGCGGGCTCGGCTGGGGTGCTTGGGACGCCCCAAACTCGGCCGTTACTCGCCACTACCGTTAGCTAATGACGGGGTGTGCCCGTCTCGGCGCGCCGGCCGCCGCGGCTCCGCTGCTCCGGCCGGCGGCTATGTGAGCCCCCGGTCAGGCCTGAAGTCGGCCCCGCTCGGCCCGGCGCGCCGGCGGGCCTCCGTGCAGCTCCGGCCGTCCGCCGCCCCTGACAGATGGACTGCCACGGCTGCCACCGGTCACGGCCCGCGCCGCCCCCGGGTGGGCCACCGCCGCCCGTCCGTGACGCCACAGCAGGCAGACGCTCAGTGGGTCGCAGCAGCAGAGAACCCTTCGGTACCGTGATTTCTCGGCAGCCTGTTGTGGTTCCTCGGGAGCCTGTCGCGGTTACGCAGCGTTTGTCTGCCGATGAGTGCCACCGGGCGGAACGATACAAGACAGAACGCTGGGAGACATGCGTTTATGATGCTGTGAAGCAGCTGGCAGCATGCCAATGTCACTCTGACTGGGCACACCATCGTCAGCGGGTGACTCCTGTCGCGCCCAGTGTGCCGCCTCTCTGCCCGACCCGTGCGCCCGCTATTTCCCCGTCCGTCGCGCCGATTCGCATTATCCGATCGGAGGTGGCTGATTCACCTGACGCCCCGCGGCGGACCGACCACGCCACCCGCGGTGTGTGCACCAGCCGGCCCGCAGCCGACCTGCCCCGGCCGCCTGTCAGTCCGCAAGCCCGTCCGCCAACCCGTCCGCCGACAAATGACCAACAGGAAAACGGCGCAGCGCCCCAGCGGCGACACCCGCTGGTTTGACATTATCCACTTGCATGTAAGGGCTTGAAATGATTCTCGGATATCTAATTGTCTTCGCTTCATGTACGCCAATATATGTTTCCCAAAACAGTCCGAGCAAAAATCGTTCCAAATTAGCAGGACAAACGAAAAATACCGGGAAAATAGTGATTCCGAGACACGTATTAATTGTACACAGCGAGGCAGTCACGCGTCGCCGGTGATTAGGGGCTCCGCGAACTGATTCTATCTGGTGTTAACAGCGAACCGCTAATGTCGCTCGGCTCGAACACGACCCATTGTGTCCGTCCGGCGCTGGCGGGACGGGACCGCGTGTCCGCCAGTCGGGTCTCAGATCAGATAGGCGCCGCGCCGCGCGCCAGTGTCCGCCGGCCGCCGTTCTCGCCGGTTGCGTGCCGCGGTGCGTCGCGCCGGTCGGCCGATGGGCGGCGCGGCGCGGCACATGGACGGCGTCACGAACGCGCGGCCGGAGCGGGCGCGTCCGGTCCCGGTGCGCGCCGGCCGGCTGACTGTAATGGTCGCATGTCGCCGTGCTATCGTTCAAACGCGCCGCCCATCCCGCCGCGCCGCCCGGCCCCTGGTCGGTCTAGTTAATCGGTCCGTTGAGAGTGTCGGCCTTTGGTCGGGGGCGCGGGCTGTGGCCACACGGTGCGCGAACGTAGGCAGCCGGTGCTGACTCCACGGTGACCCCACGTCAGCTCACCAGTTGGTGCAGACCGTCCGACCCGCCAGTCCTCATCAGGCCCGTCACCGGCCGCGTCATCGCTCATCGCTCACGGCCGGCGGCGGCGGACGGTGGTGCTCAGCCGCCCCGCCCCCGCCGCCCACCGACCCGGCCAGCCACACGGAGCGCCCCCGCCACCGCTGTCGTCGGACGTCAAAGTGGCCATTGAGGCAGTGGCGCGCACCGCCCGGTAATTGCCGTTACACCGGCGTTGGCCAAACACGCACCGGGCGTGTAATGACGCCCGGCGCGGTCAGCGCTGATGACGGGGTGCCGCGGCGGGAGGGGCGACCGCAGCGGTGCTGACGGCTGGGTGGGTCCCGCGCCGGGCCGAGCTCCGCCTTCTGCCGGCTTTGTCAGCCCACTGTCCTGTTCATTCGAACGTCCACCGGTCGATTCGCCCCGTGCTGTCGGCCACTCCGCCGCCACTCCAGGTGAGGCCGCCCCCGTCCGGCCCCCGCCGGGGCAGCAGTGAGCTCACTGCACCGGCAGACTAGCCGCGCCGTCCGTCACATCGGCCAACTTTTCGCCCACTTCCCCCGGCTGCAACCCGGCCCTGGCGTGACGTGCCAATTGCCAAACTAAATTTACGACTTTCCCGAATGGCAATCGGCCGGGCGGTGCAGCTGATTAAAGACGGGCGCGGGAGCGGCGCGCCGCCAATATGTGTCACACGATGCAGATATTACCGGCCGGCCCGGCCCGCCATGGAGGGCCTGCCATCAGCGCGCGGTCGGCCGCGTCACTCCGGCAGGGGGGCGCCGCCGGCCCGGCCGGCAGTGGATGCGACTCGTGCCGCGCAGAACACAGACCGAGTAACGCGACACAGGCCGAGAAACGGCCGTGTTTGTGCAGTTTCAAGAACCGCTGGAAGGGGCATAGTACAGTCACGTGGCTTGTTACGAGAAACAAATACTGCGCTCTATTCTTAGAAGGCGGCGCCAGCGGAAGGCCAGCGTTCACGTTTCTATGGTCGACACTGCGTGTTGAACACACGTCAGGTTTGTTCCGCACGTTACTTTGCACTTTAACCGGACGCGCATGTGCCCAAAGTTTGGTCTAGAGTGGAGTTAGTACAAAAACAAACTTTGTCAACGTTTGCACAGAGGCTGAGTTCAAAGCCTGCCTGTAATGGTGTCCCCACCCTCCATCAACTCCCATTTAGTGATTCACTGTTTCAGCGTTGGACCGTGCCCATGCTCGATAATGACTCATTTGCCGTCAAACTACACAGTTGGCGAACTCGCGAAACATTTGGTCGCGGAATGACACGTGATATCGATGTTCTTTGTATATTGTGAAAAAATATGATGAGTGCACCACATTGCAATTCTAATGAAATGATAAAGAGGAATAGGCATTAGGCTCGTTTCATTACTGTTGCATTTCGAAGTACAATACCCGATTAATAAATAGCACATTCCGATACCACTCGTACAACACACGGCTTGTAGCGCGAAGTAACACGCGGGTCCCGTTTTCAGTGTATCGTCGGCGACTGCACTGGCGGCGGCGGCAGGGAGTCGGATGGCCGCGGCTGGGTGACCTGACCCGACCAGCGGACTGCAGAGCGCCGCCTCAGGATACGGGCTCACCACACGTCAGCCCTGCACTGCGCGTCTGCCGTCGGCGGCGGACGACCCCCACCGGACGACCCATCCGGCCCAGCGCCGCGACGGTAAGTCCAGGCCCGCCGTTACCCGCCAGCTGTACAAACACTCCACAGTCATTAGTTGTACTGGATACGCTCCGTGTTTTTTTCCTGCTCAGGGCCACATCCAGCGGCGACTGTTGATGCGCCGGCCGCTGTGTGTCGCCGCGTCCCAGTTGTCCCGGCTATCCCAGTCCGTCAGTCACTGCCTGATCTGCCCAGCCGCCCCTGCCTCCTCAGCCGCCGGCGGCCCCAGTTTGTCAGTCACTTGCCGAGCTGCCGAGTCGCCCTCCACAGGCCGGCGCCGCCCCCCGCCTCCTCAACAGCCAGCCCCGGCCGCTGCCAGCCGCGCTCGCCAGCCCACCGGCGCGCGGGGCCGGAATCTTAATTAAAGCCGGGCAGGCCGGGCGCCGCGGCAGAGCGCGGCCGCCGCCAACTTTATCGCAATAAATACTCGGTCTGATTTACGACACACTAATTACCGAGTGAGCCGCGCGGCCGGAGGCGGGCCGCCGCCGCCGCTCGGTCACGAGCAGTCACACACCGCTGGCAGACGGACGGACAAACACAGACAGACGGACGGACGGACAGACGGGCCGACACACGTGCCCCGGGCTGCGCCGGTGCCCGCAGCTGGTCAGAGATGTCAATCACGCCATCAGGTGGTGTGGAGGGAGGGGAGTGATGGATCCGTTCGGCCCCCAGGGGGAGGGAGCCGATGGGTGTGATTGGTTGGATAAATGTGGGGTCGACGCGGCTCCTTGCGGAGGTTTATTGTGGAGCTCTGTCGTATTATTGCCGGTGTTGAGGCGTGTGAAACTGAGCAGGTGTGTACCGGTGGATGCTTATTTCGGTGACCGTCGGATTGCCGGTGTTTGCTGATTTACTAATGAGGAGTGTTGCACCGAGGCGCGGACGGACGGGTGTGAAATCACCATTGTGTGACATCATTTTCCCGTTTGGCGACACCTTCCTGGCGTCCGAGTCGTCTGGCCGGCGCCGGTCCCATGCACCCAGCCCCTTCTCCAGCAGAGCCTTCAGAGAAACCGAACGCTGGGGAAACCAATCGCCTTATGAGCCGCCCGATACGGAGCTGGACGCTTATCGCGGCGGCGGCGTCTGTTTCAGCGAATCTGGCCGCGGCGGGACGGCGGAGCAGACGACAGGGAGGCCCCACTGACGACCGGAGCTGACCAAGCCGCCCGCGGTGAGTGCGCGCATCGCCGCGCATCACACTTGTCTAACGACGCTCACATACTCGCCTAATCGCTTAGAGTGGCTTCTTTGTAGTCGGAGAGGCACTCAAACAATTTGTTCGGCGTTGCGGCTGTGGTGTGTGTTGAGCTCACGTGTGTCGCCCGGGGCCTCTGCCGGCCGAGTGTCCTGCTTACAGGACGGCGGGGCACAGCGGCCTCAGTGTCAGCACCGACCGATAGCGAGCCGATACCAGTGCAGCCAGACGCCCGGCGCATTCCAACGGGCGGCGATACTCACAGAGCGGACAGTCGGCATCCCCGCCCGCCGCTGAGCTGTCCGACCAGCCCCGGATGTCACCAACTGCCGCCGGCTGTACTCACAGCTTACTATCGTCATCATCCGCGCGTCACTGTTCATTTTCCTTGCTTGTGTTGTGACTTTTTCTTGCATGCAGTCCTGACATTTACTATATCCACCAAATAACAGTTCACCTCACCAAGCACCGCATGCAAAGAACAACAATGACGCTTCCGTTACAATACTCTTCATATCCATCGACACACATTCTTCCACTTCAACATCATGCACATGTGATCGCTGCCATTAGAGCCGTTTACCAGGCCCCTCCCGTTCTCCCCATCTCCTTCTGCAATTGTTGTAGCGCTCCCACCCCTCAGACAGCCCGCCTTCAGTCGGCCGGCCTGATAGGCGCCCCCTGTGTTCTAGGAGGAGACCCACAGAGCCTGACCGCCGCTCCTCTATTCCAGGAGGAGATCCCTCGGAGACCGGCCGGGACTCACCTGTGACGGCATCATGGTTCCGTGCGGCACCGGCTGGCCGGGCGGCGCGTGCGGGGACGACTGTGACGACGGGTGAGACTGCGGCGACGGACGCATGTTCGAGTTCTGAAACACCGGCCGGTGGAGAGGTCAGCCAGAGGACGGAGAGGTCAGCCAGGGCAGTCGGTAGTCGGCGATCCGCAGCCGCCCGGTCGGACGACGCAACCGGCCAACGGCATTTACAAGAGGCAACATCAGTGAGACAGTGTCCCTGCACGCCCGCGAATAGCTGCGACTCGGTCAACACGGGCAGCCCGGTGTTCGCTATCAGTGGTCAGTGTGTTGTACGAGCGGCGGGCTCGGGTCCGCTGAGCGATCGGTCTCTGTGGCGTGCCATCCAGACGTGACAGTGCAGATAGTGAGCGGCGCCCCGACTCGGTCGTGCCCGCCCATCGCGATCGGTCCTCCTGCGGTGAGATCAACACGGACTGCTGCGTAACACCGAGCGGCGCGGCCCCGGACACCCGACGCCATCTGGCATAGCAGCGCGCAACTACAACTTCATCACATCACCGACGCCGTCTGCTACTGCCACCTGCCGGCCGACAGATGAAACTAGTTTTCTATCGATGCAGCTGCTGCTGTCCGGCTCCGGGGCGCCGGTGAATTCTTACTACGATTGACGACCTCGAGTACTCGCGCGGCCGCCGGGCGGCGCGCTGGCGGCGGCGGCTGGCGCGCGGTGCAGTGGTGTCAGTCCGCGCGGAGCCGGACCCCACCCCCGCCTGCACCCCCCGCTCGACCCCCACCCCCTCGCGGGGCGGCCGTCACACTCACGGGGAAGAAGCCGGGCGGCATGGCGCCCTGGGGAGCCATACCCTCACCAGGCGGCATCTGACCCAGCGGCGACGGCGCCGGACCCGCATTCTGGAACAGAGACGCAACAGTCAGCAGTCAGCCAACCACCTCCGGTCCTCCGCACTTCAAAGACACGAGCTCATGTGATGTTTACACTTAACGGTAGCGGTGGTGTGAAATTTGAGCGAGTTAGAGAACGTTGTCAAATCGCGGCCAAATCAAACATCTGGCCGAGACCATATGATCGACCAGTAAATTGACTGGATAGTTTGGATCAGATCCCAGACGTAGGGGAGGTCAGTGTCGGAATGAGGCAAACCGAGTGAATAAGCCCCTAGATGACATACATAATACATAACATACATACATACATAATACATATTGAGCCATATCAGATAGAGCCGGTGCAGCGCACGAATTAGATTTCTGGGAAGCAGTGAACGAGCGCAGGTTCGATTCTTCACACTGGAACTTTTCAGCGAGTGTTTCCCATCCAATATGATTCTTTGCATCGCACTACGAAGCAACGTATCTCGACAGAAATAAATATCAGTCCAGGAAGTATGCGCATTCAATCAATCGGTACACTACCCATGGCCATGCCCCCTCGTATACAACACAAGTTCACATCGCATGCATGGAGTAAAGGTCTACGGTACGTTCTACGGCATTCTATGTTCTTATTTCACACATACATAAAAGGACAGGATTATAAATGCTCACAAAAACTGTTGGTATTGGGTGAGTGAGATGAAAAGTCAAAGGAAGTAGGAACTGGTGCCGGATACGTACCGTGTTTCGCTGAGGATCGTCAGGACACCGGTGAAGGAATGAGGGGCAGGAGCGCGAGCAGATGTGCCGTCTCAGGAGACGGTCAGGGACAGCCGGAGCAGAATCACTGAAAGCAACCAGTGCAGTCAGCGCGGCAGGTCCTCGTCAGTGTCAGATCACGGCGTCGGCGCGGTCAGCGCGGCAGGTCCTCGTCACTTCGTCAGTGTCAGATCACGGCGTCAGCGCGGTCAGCGCGGCAGGTCCTTGTCAGTGTCTGATCGGGACGACACTAATTAGCCCCCGTGGCAGCGCTCAGCGGCAGCAGCAGTCACAGACGCATCCCTCCGCCAGACGCGGGAAGGTGGGGGACCGCGCATCCCCCGGCCAGGGGCGGGAGGGTGGGGGAAGGCGCATCCCTCGCCCAGGGGCGGGAGGGTGGGGGACGGCGCATCCCTCCGCCAGGGGCTGGAGGGTGGGCGGCGCATCCCTCGGCAAGGGGCGGGAGAGTGGGGGACGGCGCATCCCTCGGCCAGGGGCGGTACGGTGGGACGGCGCATAGCCCGGCCCCGGGGGTGGGAGGATAGGAAAGCGTATCGCTCAGGCGGGAGCAGGTGGGTCGGAGAGCGTATCCCTCAGCCGTCGCTGCGTATGTGAGAGGCGACGGCAGCCGTCCCTGCGTATGGTAGGGGGCGGGGGAGGGGGACGGCAGGCGTCCCTGCGTATGGTAGGGGGCGGGGGAGGGGACGGCAGCCGTCCCTGCGTATGGTAGGGGGCGGGGGAGAGCGGACGGCAGCCGTCGCTGCGCGTGGGGCGTGTTTGTCTGTCGACGGCCGGCCGACCGGGCGGCCGGCCTCTGACGTCACCAGTACCGGTACACATCGATTCTGCCTCCCCCGGCCCCGGCCCCGGCTCCGGCTCCGGCTCCGGGCCGCTCCTCCCCCGGACAGCGCGTCACGCGTCACCCGGAGCCAGCTGGGCAGGGAGGCAGGGGGGGGGGGCAGGGCACGCGCCGGGCGGAGGCGGACAGCCGCCTCCCCATGGCTTCCCCAAGATGTGCTATTGATCGGCGGCTGCGGCGCGCGTGTCCGGCCGGCCGGTGAGGAAAATCGCGGCCGGCGGCGGCGAGTGGGCCGCGCCGCGGCCGCTGCCGCCCGCTCCCTATTGACGTGCACCGGTCGATAGGGATGCTCGCGAGCCGTCGGGGCCGACGCACGCCGCGCGGCACCTGTTGCCGCACCGCTGGCCGCGGAGACTCACCGGGGATCTGCTGCCGCTCCGGTCCGACCCGGCTAGATCCGGGACCGAATGTTCCGCACACGACCGGTGACCGGACCGTGACGGTTGACCGCTGACCGACCCATCGCCGTCACGGTCACCACCGCCGCCGAGCGCGACACGGCGCAGGGCGCCTCACGGCTCCCCGGAGCCATGAGTGTTCCCTCCCTCCCGCTCTCTGTCTCTGTTCCAGTCAGTCGGTCGGCCCGGCTCGCGGGGAGGCTGTTGACCTACTGTGCGCGCCCCGTGTGCCGACACACAGCGTATGACGGCGGCAGGGCAGCAAGGTTCGGCAGTCGGCCGATCGGGACTCTATCCCGGCCGCGCCCGGTCCCGCCGGTAACAAAGAACCCGACCAGTGCCCAGTGCCGGCAGTGACCTCTTGCACGGCGGCGCGCGCGAGAGGCCACCATTTAAATGGTAGCACGCCGCCCGGCTCCACGTGCAGCCGGCCCCAGTTGATGGCGTTTTAAGTTGGTGGCCGCCGTGCGTCGGTCGGCGGGCGGTCATCCGGCAGCCCAGAGCAGCCACCTGAGCTGCAGCATCACAGCCCGCGCCAGGGGAAGCCGCCGCAACTTCTGGGCAGCCACCAGCCAGCGCGGATCTCCCGGCGGTGCGGCACGCGATTATCGGCCGTCCGGCATCACGCCGCCCGCCCCCAGGCCGGCTTAGCCGCGATCAATAAGGACGGGTATGGCGTGCGCCGCGCTCCCCAAGTTTCAGCAGCCTTATTGATTTTCCGGCGTGTTCTATGCTGGATTTTGTGATTTGCCGTTGCTGGCCGGTTCCCAGATGCGCAAAACGCTCACATCGTTCACTGCATACCACTGTTAGATGGTCTTTGAAGCAAACTGCGCCGAAAAACTAGGCAAGTCAATAGTCGAGCCAAACTTTTCCTCTCGCTAACTTATCCGGCTGCCAACCTGGCCAGCATACGGTGCAGCAGCCAAATACCAGCCAAAACATAACCGCCCACGGAGACAGCCGCAGAGCTAGAGGCATGACATAGGCGATGTTCTCGTCCACCGACTCAACGTCCCTACGACACACCATCCCCCAGTCACATTCAAACTCAATAATTAGGAGCCTAAATGCAAGCCGCTAAATTAAAACCCCGCTAACCAGCAGGCTCCACGGCGTATGTCGGCAAAAGACTGGACAAATTTGTCGCCGCCGACGTCTGTGTTGCAGGGCCCGGTGTCGGCCGGTGGAGCGGTGGCCGCCCCAGGCGCATGCCGGAACTGCCGGCCCGTACCCTCGGCCAACACCGTGTGACCCTCCCGTACAAAGTTTCCACAACTTGGCGCCCCGCCCCCGCCCGGCCGGCACGCACCCGGCCGCCGCCGGGCCACGTGCCGGTCCGTCCCACAACCGAGCGGCGGCGCGCCGGGCGCCATTCACCGCGCGCCACAGACGCCCCCAACTCCAGCGGCAAACTTTTCAAATCAACACTCATCGTCGCCGCGGTCGCGACCCTGCCCGCTGACGGCGGTCCGGCCCGGCCCGGCCCGGCCCGGTGACGGGGTGTCGTGCACGCGTGGCCCCCGCCGCGCCGACGGCCGCATTGCCGCGAGACCTTGGGCGCTTCCCAGTCGACAGCCTTGGGCAAGGTCACCGGTGCGGCGGCGGCGGCGGAGCGGCGGTGGGGAGTGGTCATTCAAATCGGCCGGCCGCCGCCACAGCCGGGGCTGAGACCGCCAGGCAGGGCATATTTTAACATACTGACTGCGTCCCATTTTGGGACGCAGCCCCCTGCCTTTGGGACGTAGCACTCGCGAAATTTGGACCACTGCGTCCCACACTGAAATGTCACGGTTTCAGCGGAAAAGTGCAAGCAATAATAATTAGCATGCCTCGGTCTTTTACTATGCAACAGACTCCATAAGAGCCCCACACCGGCTTTTTAGTGTCCCTTGTCGGCCTTTGAGTGGCCTTTGCCGGCTTCTCAGGGCCTATTGGCGACCTCTGAGGGCTACTTGCCGGCCTCTGAGGGCCCTTACCGGCCTACAGGGACCAGCAGCTCTAAGGGTTCTACACACGCCTGCGATGACCCCCTAAACCAGTGGTTGAAGGCCCCCACAACGCCGCCTGCGAGGGCCCTCACCGGCGGCTGTGAATGCCCCACATCGGTGCCTAGCTGAGGGCCCAACACTGCCACCTCTGAGTGCAACCGGCACCCCTGAATGAGGTCCCGAAACCAGTGCTTCTTAAGACCATATATCGGCGGCTCGGGGGGCTCAACGCCGGAGCTGCATCGGATGGCCACTCACCGGTGACTTTTGAGGGCCCCACACCGACGACTCTGAGGGCCCCACTGGCGTCTGAGTGTACCTTGCTGGTCTCTAAGGACTCCACAGGGCTCCCGAAGGCACCGCAGACCTCTTGAGAGCCCCTTGATTGGTCTCTGAGAGCCCCTGTCGGCCTGTAAAGGGTTCGAGCCAGCAGCTCTAAGGGTCCCACACCGGACTGTGACAACCCCACACTGCAGTGTCTCTGAGGGCCCACAACGGCAACTGTGGTCCAGGATCTTCACCGGCGCCTCTGAGGGCCCACAGCGGCACCTCTGGGGGCCCGCACCAATGCCTCTGAGAGCATCACACCGGTACCTGTGAGGGCCCACACCAGTGCCTCCAAAGGCTTCATAACCGGCGGCCCTGAGGGCCCTACACGGGTGATTTTGAGGGGCGTACCGAAGGCACCACACAATCCCTTAGTCTCGCTGAGCTTCTATCCCAATCCCATACCGTACATCCCATATCCCATATCCCATCCCATCCCATTTCATATCCCATCCCATCCCATATATCCCAATCCCAATCCTAATACATTATCTATCTATCTATCTATCTATCTATCTACCGGCTTCTATCCCAATTCCGGCTCAACTAATTATCAGCCCCCCTCCCCCCTCCATGGGTCAGCAGCGCCGCGCCGGTGTCGGGGGCCAGCGCCATCGGGGCGGCAGTAGAGCACTTCACGGATAGGCTTTTTAGGATCCGGCCCGGCCCATATCCGGCAAGTCA